GGCTGGAAAAGTCGTCGCTGCTCTCATCCTCGTGAACCGTGGCGCGGTGGCGGCGGGGGAATGCGCGGCGGTCGGCGGTCGGCGGTGAATCGGCAGGCGAGAGCTCGAGTAGGGCGAGGGCTAGGGTTCGTGGGGAGTGAGTGAGTTTGGTTCGAGGGAGTTGGGTTCGACCAGGTAGACCGGCCGAGCCGGTTCGGCGGCTTGCGAACTGACTGGTGGGGCCGGGTTGTCAGATACAGCGTCAATACAGAGTTATACGCAGTTTAGCTCGTATTGCAATGACCAGCCTCAAACATGGTACTGACTTGCAAAAACACTGAATAGTGGTACTGATCCGTTACAACTGCCCCAAGTGTGGTACTTCCCTGCAATTAACTCTAGGGAGGTGTTCGACCGGAGGAACTAGTGAGTGAATCTAGGAGTAGTTCGGTCGGAGAAATCGGAGAACACGGCTCACAAAATAGATTTTTTTTACCCCGAAAATCCACCATCCACGCATCTCGTCAAGGTTGATGCCCTCTGACACGTTTCTGGTGCACCGGGCAATTGGTGTTATCGTGCACCGGATCCCATTGCACGTTCAAAAATGTTAGAAAAGTATTCAGAAATTTTTTAATTCATTGACACAACATCATAAAAATTCAAATCAATTCAAAACATTGCTTGAGATGCAAAAATGACAAATTTGAGATTAATGTGCTAATGAGCCAAAACTGAAGTCCAACTTGTGTTATGTACTATTCGGTGTCTAATTTATTATTTTTGTATCTCGAGCAATGTTTTCAATTTTGAATCGAATTTTTGTGACAAATACATTGATGTTGTTTCAAACTTTCAATACACTAAAAATTTTCCGGATTTTTCCAAATTTGTTTGGATGTGCAACGAGGGACCGGTGCACCGTTAGCACAAATTGCCCCGGTGCACTAGATACATCTCCGGCGCTGAGGAAGCGGAGGTCGATGGCGCCGAGGAGCGCGCGCTGCGGGCACGGTGAGAGGAGGAGGAACGCGAGGTGCCGACGAAGGAGCCAGATGACGAGGGCGGCGGCGAACACCCGGTGGTGGCTAGCCACCACCGGAGCCCTCCTCCCATCTCGCAGGTGCTGCTCCCAGGAACCTCTTCATTTGAGGAGAGGTGTTCGACCGGAGGAACGAGTGAATCTAGGAGAAGTAGTTCGGTCGGAGAAATCAAAGAAGGTGGCGCGGCCAGCGGGACTCCATTGGCCGGGCACCTCCCACCCTCACGCACTCCATTGGCTGGGCCGGGCTGGTGCTGCGGGGAGACTGTAGCCCACGGACCCGGAGTTATATGGCCGGAGTTGACTCTTGATGTTTAGAATGAGAAGTTATCTGAGAAATACCTTGGCCTCCCCTCTGACGTGGGAAGAGCAAAGGAGGGTTCGTTCAAATACTTGAAGGACAAAATCTGGAAACAGGTGCAAGGGTGGATGGAAAAAGCACTTTCAGTTGGAGGTAAAGAAGTTCTAATCAAATCCGTAGCTCAAGCCATACCTACATATTCTATGGCATGCTTTAAGCTCCCACGGGGGCTGTGTCTACATATTAATGGGTTGCTGCGTAAATTTTGGTGGGGTTCCTAGAAAGGCGAGAGGAAGACAGCATGGGTCTCTTGGAAGGTCATGTCACAACCGAAGTTCATGGGAGGTATGGGGTTCCGAGACATCAAGCTCTTTAATTTGGCACTTTTGGCTCGTCAAGCATGGCGTCTCCTCCAGGAACCTAACTCGTTAAGTGCTCGCATCTTGAAGGTTGTGTACTACCCTGATTCTTCAGTGTTAAATGCAGAGATAGGCAAAAACCCGTCGCAGGTTTGGAGGTCGATCTTCGAAGGATTAGACACGCTGAAACTTGGCCTCATAAAACGGATTGGTTCCGGAGAAAATACACACATCTGGGCAGAGAACTGGATCCCCCGCGACTACAAGTTGAGGCCGGTATGTGCTAAATCAAATAATCCGCCGCAACATGTTTCTGAGTTGATTGACCAAGCTACAGCGTCATGGGATGTTCAAGTGCTTGATCAACACTTTTATGCGATGGACATAGCAGCGATACTCAATATTCCGTTAAGCACCAGAGTTCAGGAAGATTTTTGGTCTTGGCATTATGAAAGGAAGGGTGTTTTCACCGTTCGATCGGCTTACCGTTTACTTGCTGCCACCAAACAGCAAAGGACGGAGCACAACCCGGGACACTCCAACATTGATGCAGAGCAGCGCTCCTGGACAAAACTATGGGGAGCAGATGTGCCATCTAAAATCAAGGTTTTTGCATGGCGACTAGCTAGGACATCTTTGCCGACAGGCGATGTGCGCAAGCATCGGAGCATGGCCGAAACACCTGAATGCGTGATATGCCAGGCGGCCAACGATACTTGGTGCCACGCCCTGTTCGATTGTCAGATGGCCAGATGTGTTTGGGCTCTCGCAGACGAGGAGTTGACTGAGGTCGCCATATCAAACCGCACGGAGGATCCTAAGCTGTGGGTGCACTGGCTCGTGGACGCTTTACCGTCGAAGGACCTCTCCAAGGTGCTTGTGACGATGTGGGCGATATGGTGGGCTAGACGACGGGCTATACACGATGATCAGTACCAGAGCCCCATTAGCACGCATTGCTTCATTAACAAATTCCTTGCTGATCTTGAGTTGGTCACTATTACAGAGCTCCGAACGAGCCAGCGGCATGCATGCAAGGGAAAAGGATGTGCATGCAAAAAATGAGTTGCAGCTTGCAGTGCAGTAGGAGGGGCTTGTACACAATCCCTCGAAGGGCTGGCAGCGTCCAACAGAGCATAATGTGAAAATCAATGTCGATGGGGGCATCTCGCGGGACAGAATGAAAGGAGCGGCAGCTGCCATCTGCCGGGACAAAAATCGACTTTATTTGGGCGCCTCGGTCGTCATGTTTGAAGGTTTGATTGACCCGGCATCATTGGAAGCTCGTGCGTGTAGCGAAGCTCTGGCATTAGCTATGGACTTGCATGTGGATGTGGATTCAGTTTGCGTTGCCTCGGATTGCAGTGAAGTGGTGGCCAATATTGAAGTAGGCATTCTGTGTCACTATGTCACTATCTTGAGGGAGATCACAGCCCAGCGAACCTTATTCCGAGACCTGAAGTTTATCCATGAGAAGCGTCAACATAATGGCGAGGCACACGCACTTGCCAAAGCTAGTTCTTCCCTTTCTCTTGGGCGCTATGTGTGGCTGTTATCCTTGCCCGATGTAATCTGTACCACCATGAACATTGATCATTAATAAAGGGTGCAGTTTCCTCAAAAAAAAGAAAAAAATGCTTTAAAAAAACTGTTTTTTCTTAAGTATCGATGGTTATTTTTAGAAGGGCAGATGCTTAATTAGGTACTTTTTTTAGAAACTACTCCCTTCGTTTCTAAACATAAGTTTTTTTTTAGAGATTTCAATACGAACCACATACGGATGTACATAGACATATTTTAGAATTTAGAGTGTAGGTTCACTCATTTGGCTCCGTATACTACCTCCGTTCCTAAATATAAGTCTTTTAGGATATTTCAATGCAGACTACATACGGAACAAAATGAGTGAATCTGCACTCTAAAATATGTCTATATACGTCGGTATGTAGTCCTTATCGAAATCTCTAAAAAGACTTACATTTATATACATCGGTATATAGTCCCTGTTGAAATCTCTAAAAAGACTTACATTTAGGAACTGAGGGAGTAGTCCTTATTGAAATCTCTAGCTGTGTTTAATGCAACTAATGTCGTTTCCAAATTATAAGTACTCCCTCCGTCCGGGTGTATAAGTCATTCGCGTAGTTCTAGGTCATCGATTTGAGGAATTAAATATGTGTTATATGTCATGAAAAGTATACCACTATATTTCCACACGGATGTAGTTTCTAAATATATATTTTTTGTCACATATAATACATATTTAGATAGTTAAATTATCGACCTAGAACTACGCGAATGACTTATACACCGGGACGGAGGTAGTAATGCAATTAACATGTTTCTAAATTATTGATGATGTGATGGATACATCATTGGAGGAGCGTGAGATGTTGGATATAGATGGTTGAATGGCTTGGATCATTTAAATTCAGGAAACTCGTGCTCTTATAAGTAGTATAGTACTCCCTCCGTCCGGAAATATTTGTCGGAGAAATGGATGTATCTAGACATATTTTAGTTCTAGATACATCCATTTTTATGTATTTCTCCGACAAGTATTTCCAGACGGAGGGAGTATATAGTAAATAGATAACCATTGCTACTTGAAAAAAACTCGGTTTATTTTTACTAAGCATCTCCCCTTAGGCAATGAATACTTTAGGTTCTAATAAAATACGTACAAGTTTTTCTCAGTTTTGTTGAGAAAAAAGAGGTCAACATTTCTTTCTCAAATACTACCAAAAAACATGGCATTGGGGATACTACAGTTTATATACTGTGGTACTTTGTTTATTTCAAACACATTAAAAAAACAGTGGCTGTTAGAGAAGTCTGACTACACAAATCTTGGAAACAGGTATGTTTAAAAGAAAAAAATTACATTTTCATTTAGAACTTATACTTTTTATTTATTGTGTATCGAGATTACAATTTCACCAGAATACAAGGAAGTAGGAAAACATCTAGTTCTTCACATATTCTCATCAATTATATAGCTTCCCTCTGAATACAGAAGCAAAGGAGTACATTATCAGTAATAAATGCAGTATATATTCACATTTCCTGATGCCAGTATTCCTTGATAATCGATGCATAGTTAAAGACTACTTCACTAAACATTCCAAAGCGGATAAAACAGCTCGTTGCTTTTTCTCAAATGAGTAAGCACAACTGCACAAGTAGATTGAGATCAGATGCCGGTAAACTAAAAACCTAAATGGCCATGCTGTATTAGTCGACTATGAATAGATTTAATGTGCCATCATCCAGGAATGTTTTTTGTCAAGTATAGGCTGCAGAATACTTGCACAGTTCACTAGCGGTAAAGAATGTCGCAGTCCTCGGACCGACACAGCAAGGTCAGCGAAGGTGTGCCATCAGATGATAACAGGTTGCCACTTCCCAGCTCCAGTGGTTCAGGGGTTGAGGTTGAGGACCAGTAGCTTTGGGCCATATGGAAAGCACCCTTCCCTGTCTCTGATCGAGGGAAGAAATCAAGGCGCTTTACTTGCAAATCTCCAGCCATCAAGTCTCTGCCTAGAATTTCGAGTCGCAGCGGGATGCCAAGTGCATATGTTAGAGCCCTCATTGCCAACATCGTTGGTTTAACATCCAGGGGCCGCACCTCCTTGTAGCAATACTGATGCCAAAACCATAAAATGTCAAATAGTGAGCTCGGTCTCTAAATGGTAAACTTAGTATTGGTTTAGTCATGATTATGTTATTACTGTACAAAGGACAGAAAATAACACTGTTTATGCAGAGAAAATTCTCAACCTTGATAATGAACTACATATACTTTTACGAGAAAGACAAAAGATACATAATTCACTAGTTGATTGTTCGAGAACAGTAGTAGGGATAAGAAACTCTAACCTGATGGACATTCATCTTTTCAGGGATAAATGATTTGTAATCAGCTTCTCGAGTACGGATCTCGGTCTCTGCCAGCAATCTTAGCAAAGAAATGACTGGAAAAAAAAGGTGTTAAGCGAGAGAGAACTAGCGGACAAACAAAACATCTAAGCAAGCTTGTAGTATCCTTACTCCTGAGTGGCATCATCTCCTGTAGACTTCTCTTGTACAACTCGTCAGAACTCAGACTGCAAACGATAAAAGCAAATATTTTCAAAACCCAAACGTAACAACAAACAAGCAAAGGGATCTTGTAACTTAATGTCATGTCCTGTCAGAGAAAATCACTACAAAACATCAAGTTAATTAAAAGCTCATACCCATTTGCAACAGAATTGACCAAACGATTCAACTCCTGAAAGAACATGAAGACAAATGGTTAAGTATATAATTTGAGATATATTATGAAGAGAATCATATTTGTTTAACATACGGCATACAGCAGTTGTAATGGTGTGGGAAACAAATATTTCCGTGACATATCATGCCGACTGCTCCTAATGCATCCCGGAGAGACGAAAGCGCACAGAAACAAATATGGTCTGTCATCATATACCGACATGGCAGGGGCTACTTTTGTAGTGAATGCTATATCAGGAAACAATACTTGAGCTGAATAGCATCCATACTGTAGCAAGAATGAAAGTGGAGTTTTAGTCAAGTGGAATATGATGACAGACCATAGCATTATTAAGGAGCTCTCAAGTTGGTATGGTCCTGTAAACCAGTACTCTCCACCATGTCATATACTCGGTGTTCCAAAATTTAAATAGCGCGCTATAGCTTTTACAGCATGAAATTCTAAGCCATTGAATAATTTCCTGTCAGAGCTAATACTGTTATATCCAATAATCATATAGCAGCTATGGCTCCTCCATGCAACATGTGCCAAAACTACTTCAACTAAATAAACATTTTTTCCTCTATACTCTTCGTAGATATCCTTAAAGAAAAAGTAATATGGAAACAAGAAAAATAAATATTTGGAGAACTCCACAGCCCTCCCCTAAATTTACATGTATGGCAGAGTGCTCATAGGTTTTCCCTCTCCTCTCACTCTGCATACCCCCTCTGTTTTAGGTCACATATTTTGGAATTCGCTAAGATCAAGGAGTTTAATACTTCTTGGGACCTCATGCTGTTCTTTTGATAAGAAATAGATTAGTTCAGGCTGGATGTCGTAGTTCAGTAGACATATGGCTCAGTGTTTACTATATGTCTCGCTACATATATTTCATACTCAGAAATCGTAACAGTAACCAAAGATGTGTATTATAGTAAAAGGTGAGAGTAGATTTTAGCTTTTACGATGGCCCGCTATATGTGATAGATTTTTCCTATCCTTTATGTAGCAGACCACAAACAGCAATTACGACCTTGCATCTACTTCTCGTTTCATTTAAGTGTGTAGTGCCATATGCTTTTTTTACAGAGGACAGAAGAACAGTTTCTACAGAGGAAAGAAAAACACAAAAACATTTTAAGGTATTGTTCTGTATCAAAGATATTTTCTGATGATGTAGCATGGGTTCAGATAACTTCAAAGCAGATTCAGCAAGGGCACTGGACAAAAATATTTAGAGAAGAGGCTCGAGCCGAGCCTGACTTTGAATTAACAAAGCCGTCAACCCGCTAGGATTACAGCCAACCACATCTTACAAGCAGCAGGCCACATAAGGGGCATCAAGTTATTTTGGCAAGTATAAATCATACTAGTTTGTTTTTCACTAAATGACTGAACTAAGTATTACAAAGAACTGGGGTTAAGAGGTCAGAGAAAAAAAATGAAGCTTGTGTAAGCTAGGAGAATACATACAGAAACAACACTTGAAAAGTATTCTTCAGGATTTAAGAAGTATGCTTTGTCCCATTTCAGACGACAGAAATTCTCTCTGGACACTGCCACATGTTCCATTAGACGAGTAACTTCAGCTTGACTATCTTGCATTTGTCCAAGATTTTCCTGTTTACAAGCATAGTCATATCAAACTTTGATGCAAAACAAAAAAGCAACAGCATAAAAACCTAGTAACTTAGAAAGATACCAAGTAGGAGAAAAAGAAAGCTCTATAGAAATAGTTGCCATCTCCGCGAGTTCGTCTGAAGTGCAAATAGCGCTGACAAAGAACCTGCACAAAACTAGTTTTGCACATTAGCATAGAACACTTAAATAATGAAAATGCTCCTATAGTGGCATGCAAACTTACCTTGATAATTTCCTGGAAAATGTCATTATCTGAATAATCCTGAACCAAATCCAAGAGTGGTTCCTGCCAAACAAAGAATAAGTATCACAAAAAGGGCACTAACGATTTAGTAGATTCATCTGAATTAAGGATGGATTTGAATAAGTAATGCTGAAGCACAAGGCGCAAAATTGTAAGCCTAAGAAATTCTTTTATGGTTTTCACACATCAATCATCCACTTATTTGGTAGGAAAATGATATGAGGCCTTCATTGGGAAAACCTATGTATCAATCACAATGTGCAAAACTGAAACTTATTTTATGTCACATAAGAACTTCTCCTGTACCCTAACTCACATTATTGGTAAGACTTGAGACACATGACCTTATCAAGGGTAAGTTTCACTGTGATTACACAGAGTAACGTCTACGAAAATGTTATGTTCCAGATAATACCATAGTTCCCTCAGGACATGATCGCAGTTTGACAAACATTTAAGGTTGCATGTAACACACACTCAAACAAGGGGAATGATAATATATATTAGCATGCTAGGCAAGATGGAGTTAACTCTTGAATATCTAGTGGAAGTTTATTGTAGGACATCGGAAAGGTCAGATGGTGTTAACTGAATGAGGAAAAGATTAAAAAAAATCAATGCATTGTTGTGAACAGAGGAGCTACAATGTTCTCACCTGGCATCCTAATGCCCTTGGACGAGCATCCGGACACCTGAAAACACCACTGACACTGAGAATACGGCAGTCCTTCGGTGGTCGGAGGTATGTTCTCTTGCCATCCAGCAGCTGATTCCAGTTTTCCCACAGAGAAAAATATTCATTTTTATTGAGCGGCACCGAGTCATGCCGAACAAGATCATGCGGGAGATTCTTCTTTTGAGTGCTCATAAACAATGAAATGTAGAATTTCTCCTCATCTGGTAATTCATCCTAAATAATTGCAGACAGATATTTGTAAAGGATACTTTCCAGCACAAATAAAGCCCATAAGTACCAAAAAAAAAAAACAAGTGTAGTAACAACTAAAACAACTGATTCAGACTCCAACTAATGCAATCAACAACTAGAAAATTAATTCCAACACCGCAACGACTGCGAGGCATCCTTCTCTGTTTTCACAACAATTGGATAAATAACTCAAGTCACCAAGTCATGGAATTGAACTAAGAACTAGTAGCAGCAAAGGAACACAAATTTTCACCTGATCCTCTTGCATCACCTCCCAACCCTCATCATCTTCGTCTTCAGGCCAATCATCATAACCATCATCATCCAGTCCTTGATCCTAGAAAATGGCCGAACATGCTTGTAAAAAAGTACTTTCCAGCACAAATGCAGAGAACAGTGGAAAAAGTGCAGTGAAAACCAGGCATCATTAGATAAATTAAAGGCAAGTGTAATACTCTCTCCGTTCACAAATATAATATACTTTGGATATTTCAATATGTACTACATACGGACTGAAATGAGTGAACAAGCACACTAAAACGTGTGTATATACATATGATTCATAAAAAAGTTAGAACATGTTATATTTATGAATGGAGGGAGTAACAACCACAACAACTTATTCAAACTCCAACGGGTACAATCAACAAGTAGAAAAGAATATCTAACACTGTGATGACTGACAAGGGATCACTCTCTGTGTTCAGAACAACTGGACAAAGAACTCAAGTCACCAAGCCACGGAATTGAACCAAGAACTAGCAGCAAAGGAACACAATTTTTCACCTCGTCCTCATCATCATCATCCTCGTCCTCGTCCTCGTCCTTGTCCTCGTCCTCGGGCCAGTCATCATCAATATCCGGTCCTTCATCCTAGAAAATGGCAGGGCATTGTAAGATAAACACTTTCCAGCGCAAATGCAAATGCAGAGAACAGAGTAAAGAAAAGTGCAGTGAAAACAGAGCATCCGGTCCAGACAACAGCGGGAAATCCAACAGTTTTCAGTTATCCTGCCATGGAAATATCGAATCTAGGCATCTAGCTTTCCTGGTCACCCGATTGGACCAAGAACTCGCAGAAGAATATCAAAGGAGCGCAATTTCTGAACAGAGACCCCAACGAACTCCCTCCTTTTCCTTTTACAAAAGAATTCAGGTACTACGTCAGGCGTCACGAAATTAATTGGAGGGCTCGCAAGCATGCACGCAATCCATCTTCCCAACAAGGCAACAACTACACCAATTCTAAGAACGCAGCCAAGAAAAAGATAACTGAACTGCGACGACACCCGATCCTGCGGCAGCGGAGCCAAGAAAGCACCCAGACACGAACAGGCCGCAAGAAATGCCCCGAAGCGGACCAAGAACGAAGCCGATGTCACCCCGACGCACCACCGAATCGCGCCGGGCGACCATCACCGTTCACCCAGGAGGCTACAGGAGGAAGCAAGATTGCAAGAACTCACCGTGTACTTGACGATGGGGGTCAGCGGCGGCCTCCGTGCCGGCTGAAGCGGGAGCGGCGAGGTGGAAACCAGCGCGGGGTCGAGGGAGGGCGACGGCGCGGGGCCTGGCGCAGGCGGCGATGTGGGTCCGGCGCCGCCGTCTCCGTCTCCGCCTCCGCTGCTTCCCGCCCTGTCGCTGTATAGCTTGACCTTGAAATTTATCCCCATTTCTTTCGCTTGCTGGAGATTCCTTTTCTGCCCCTCGGAGAAGCACTGGCTTCTTGCGGCTCGCCCCCTCGATTCCTGGAGAATTTGGTAGCGGTCTTTTGCAAGGGCCCAAGTGGTAGATATCTTATATACTGCTCTCTCTGTGTAAGACGTTTTAGATTGTTAGTGACTCTATATGGTAGGAGAGTGTATCAGCAAATTGGGGATGAGGTGGTGACTCTACATGGTAGGAGAGTGTGTCAGCAAACTGTCCCAACCAGTCACTCAAGCTCTCTTTCATGCCGCCAGCTCGGCCTCCCTTCCTCCTCCTTCAGAGACCTCGTCAGTGACAAAGAGGAGTGGGATCTTCTCCCCCTTCTTTACATTTTTCCTTTTTGTAGGTCAGAATTCTTTTCCTTAGGTTCTATTTCCCAAACGATATTGATGACGTAGTGGCAGGGATGGCCCGCTAAAATAAAGTCTTTTCGACCTCTCCCTGCATCAGACATCCGATCTGGCGGCGCCGTAGAGTTGCGAGGGTATATGTGTTGCCGGGTCTGTGGGCTTTCTTCGGATCTTGGTAGTTGATGTATCAATCAAGCGAAGCAATGGTCTCACTTTTTGTGTGGTGATTTAGACCCCTTTCTTTCAATTTATTCGGCGGCATGACTCAGTTTCTCTAGTCCTCTCGACTGGTGGTGAAGGGTTGCAAGCCTGCGTTGTGTGGGGTGATGCCCAAATTGATGTTCCTTCGACGCTTACTAGATCCTCATTTTCCTAGCGGTGATCGATTATTGCGGTCAAAATCTAGTTTAGCAACGAGGCAGGGTGGGGCATCACCCACCGACCATGGGGGAGGGGTGTAACACCCCGAGAATCATGCTGCAGTAATCCCCCACTAATGGTGCCATGTCATCACATTACTATTGTTAGTCCTCACTTGATCCAAATCATGATTCGAATTCAAACTCAAAATTTAAAGTAAAAAAATTCCAATTTGCCAAACATGAAAACTAAAATGTTCAAAGTGTGGCAAATAATCCCTGGATAATTGTCATGTTGGAACCAACCTCTTTTGGGTTCCGAAAATGCCCCTAGAAATTATTTAGTGATCCAGCAGCATTTAAAATTGGCATTTTAAATTTCTAAAAATAGTTGGACAACTACTTTCGGCCTTAAACTTTTTGCGACTCTTAGAATTAATGTGCTCGCTTTAGTTGACAAGTCTCTTTTCTACCAAAACTCTTTTAGTTTTGCAATTTATAAAAAGGCAAAATAAAAGGAAAACTCCGCTTGACTCCTCCGGGCCTCGGCCAACCCCCACCCGAGCCAGCCCACCTACCCCCACCGGTCTCCTTCTCCTCATGTTCCCGTGGTGCGGTCGTTGCAGGGGCATGGTTGCCCCCGACCGCCTCGCCGGCGTCCTGGGCGAGGGGATAAGATCCCCTGACGCCTCGGCTCCCCTCGTCCCCTCCCACTTGCCCTGGCGCTCCTCCTCATCCACTCCCCCACTCCCTCTCCCTCTTACTCCTCTCCCCTCCAGATACGCCGCACCCAAGCGGGAGCTCGTCGCGCCACCATCGTCAGCATGCTCCGGCACCACCCCGGGGCGCACCAGAGCGTCTAGGAGCTCCCTCTTCCTCGCCTAGGTCGACTACCTCGCCCCGTTCAAGATCAGCGCCGCCGCAACGCCCCGTTCGTGGTCTTCTTCAACCTCCGGACCCGATGCCGTGCGCCGTCGACCCACCCCGAGCACGCTGCCATCCCCCTACCACCCCGCCGTGAGCATCGCATCGATTCCCATCTCTCCCTTCTCTCGTTTAGTCAAAGTAGGCGACGCCTGCGACCTCCCAAAGCCGCGCGCCCCTGTTGCTCGTGCGTACTGCTACTGCTTCTACTGTCGACGCCGGCCGCAACTCGCCTCGCCAACGCGCGTGCCTCCGCTGGCCATCGGTCCCGTCGCTGCTCACGTCGTCCCTCACCCGCGCTGCCATCCGCCACGGCCGGAGTCCCGCCCCCGCGAGCTCCTGGCGGCGCCGTCGTGCCCTGCCTCTGTCCGCTCCGCACCGGACGCCGGGACGGCTGCCGCCGGGCTGCTCCCCGCTCCCGCTGGAACCGCCCCCCCTGCACGCGTGCTGTCGCTGCACTACTGCGTGCTCAGATGGCCGCCGCTCGCCGTCATCCGCGCCGGCCAGGCCCACGCCCTGCTTCCTCCGTGCGCCGGCGCTGGTCTCCCTCACTGGAACTAGCGCCCAGCCATGGCCCAAGGCCACTGCCACCTGGGCCGGCCCCCTTTTTAATTAGGCTAACCCCAATTAGTGTTAACCATCCCCACTAATTAGTCACTGACAGTGGGCCCCGCAACCAGTTAGATTATTTTAAAACAAACTGTTAAAATATGTGACAATGACAACTGGGCCCCGTTGTCACTGTTCATTGGTGGACCAGTCAACCTTTGACTTGGTCAACTGGGCCCACTGGCCCACTGTCAGCCTCATCAGCCACTTGCTGGGTACACTTTTGGGTACCTCTAGCCTTTTCCCATTTAATCTTTTTTTGAATTATTAATATACCTGAAAATCCATAAAATGCAATAAAACTTTGAAAAATCATATAAAAGAAACCGTAGCTCGGATGAAAATGTTTTCTACATGAAAGTTGCTCCGAAAAATGAGACGAATCCGAATACGCGGCCCGTTCATCTGTCTCATGCCCCTAGTAGGCTGAACATGGAACATTCCCCCTCCGGTCATTTGTCTGACACAGGTCACTGGTAGAAAAAGAGGCTTCCGTCCAGCCCCATTAGTCGCGAAACTGTAGGAACCGCGACTAATGAAGTCTTTAGTCGCGGTTCGGCAGACGAACCGCGACCAAAGGCCTGGGCCCAGGGCGCTCGGTGGCCAGCTGGTGCACGTGATGGGCTTTAGTCGCGGTTGGCCAGGCCAACCGCGACTAAAGGTGCCCAAAGGCCTTTAGTCGCGGTTGGCCAGGCCAACCGCGACTAAAGCTCCTCCCCTATATATACCAGTTCAGCACGCTCACTTAGCCATTTGGTGCCACTTCTCTTCACAAGCTTCACAAGGGGGTGTAGGTTTGCTTTTGGTTCCTCTTATGCACACAAGGTGTTTGATGAAATGCCCCAAGAGGGTGAAACAAACATGATATGAAGTGTTGGAGCCACACTTGAGATTCCTCATTTATTTTTTCCTCCTCGATCGCGGTTAGCAACTTGAACCTTTCATGCATGTGTGTCATTGATAAAATATGCATGTGTGTTGTTCATTGTTTAATTTCTATTGTTTATAGCTAGTTAGTTTAACAAATGCATGATGGTTAATTATATATTTTATATTATAATAATGCAGATGAATCGGCAATGGATGTACGGTAACCGACTCTCCCGCGAGTTCACTACGGGTTTGAAAGATTTCCTCGTAGTGGCTAATGCGAACAAGCAGAAGGGTTTTGTTATCTGTCCATGTGCTGAATGTAAGAATCAGAAGGGTTACTCTTCCTCAAGAGAAGTTCACCTGCACCTGCTTCGGCACGGTTTCATGCCAAGCTATAATTGTTGGACCAAGCATGGAGAAAGAGGGGTTATAATGGAAGAAGATGAAGAAGGGGATGATTTCATCGATGAAAGCTATCTTGCTCATTTCGGTGATACTTTCATGGAGGATGCTGAAGGTGAAGGGGAAGGTGAAGGTGAAGAAGAGGCACGTGATGAGACCGTTGATGATCTTGGTCGGACCATTGCTGATGCACGGAGACGCTGCGGAACTGAAAAGGAGAGGGAGAATTTGGATCGCATGTTAGAGGATCACAGAAAGTCGTTGTACCCCGGATGCGATGATGGTCTGAAAAAGCTGGGCTGCACACTGGATTTGCTGAAATGGAAGGCACAGGCAGGTGTAGCTGACTCGACATTTGAAAACTTGCTGAAAATGTTGAAGAATATGTTTCCAAAGAATAACGAGTTGCCCGCCAGTACGTACGAAGCAAAGAAGGTTGTCTGCCCTCTAGGTTTAGAGGTTCTGAAGATACATGCATGCATCAACGACTGCATCCTCTACCGCCGTGAATACGAGAATTTGAATGAATGCCCGGTATGCACTGCATTGCGTTATAAGATCAGAGGCGATGACCCTGGTGACGATGTTGAGGGCGAGAAACCCAGGAAGAGGGTTCCCGCCAAGGTGATGTGGTATGCTCCTATAATACCACGGTTGAAACGTCTGTTCAGGAACAAAGAGCATGCCAAGTTGTTGCGATGGCACAAAGAGGACCGTAAGTCGGACGGGGAGTTGAGACACACCGCAGATGGAACGCAATGGAGAAAGATCGATAGAGAGTTCAAAGATTTTGCAGCTGACGCAAGGAACATAAGATTTGGTCTAAGTACAGATGGCATGAATCCTTTTGGCGAGCAGAGCTCCAGCCATAGCACCTGGCCCGTGACTCTATGCATCTACAACCTTCCTCCTTGGTTGTGCATGAAGCGGAAGTTCATTATGATGCCAGTGCTCATCCAAGGTCCGAAGCAACCCGGCAACGACATCGATGTGTACCTAAGGCCATTAGTTGATGAACTTTTACAGCTGTGGGGCAGACCTGGTGTCCGTGTGTGGGATGATTACAAAAAAGAGGAATTTAACCTACGAGCGTTGCTTTTCGTAACCATCAACGATTGGCCTGCTCTTAGTAACCTTTCGGGACTGTCAAATAAGGGATACAATGCATGCACGCACTGCTTACATGAGACTGAAAGTGTACATTTGCCAAATTGTAAGAAGAACGTGTACCTTGGGCATCGTCGATTTCTTCCGAAAATTCATCCAGTAAGAAAGAAAGGCAAGCATTACAACGGCAAGGCAGATCACCGGCCGAAGCCTGCGGAACGCACTGGTGCTGAGGTATTTGATATGGTCAAGGATTTGAAAGTCATCTTTGGAAAGGGTCCTGGCGGACAATCAGTTCCGAAGGGAGCTGACGGGCACGCAGCCATGTGGAAGAAGAAATCT